CTCTCTCTCTCTCTCTCTCTCTCTCTCTCTCTCTCTCTCTCTCTCTCTCTCTCTCTCTCTCTCTCTCCTGGTTCAGCTTGAACTTTCTCCATGGTTCTGGTTTTGTGTCCTTGAGAGAGGGTGTACTATGAAGCCCAGCTTGGCTTCAAACTCAAGATTCTTCTGCCTCAGCCTCCCAAGCAGTAGACTTAACTGCCTTTTCCTCCTTGGATCTTTATGTCCGTTGCTCTTTGCCATTGTCTGCCATCTGGATATATTGCTCAGAACCCTGGCCTGCTGCTGACTAAGTTGAACTGAGAGATGAGCTGGTTAGACCCCTCCTGGCCAGGGGCCACTTCAATCCTGCCCCAGCCCAGAGCACACCCTCATCTACTTGCTGGGCAAAGGATCTGAGATTGCTAAGGCCCTGGCCTGTTTTCTCCCGTGTGCCCTTCCTCCACCATACCAGCCACTGCCATGTCTGGCACTCCAGCATGGGCAGTGGAACGTGGGAAACAGTGTGGGTGTCAAAAGGTTTCACACTCACCAGGCTGCAAGTCAGCCTTCCATTGTCTCCATTCATTGTCTCTAAGGACAGCAGTCAGTCCCATGACTGTGACAGTGTGACATGCCCACTTCCCACCCCCACACACTGGACATGGCAGCACATGATACGGGCACCGTCGGCAGGTACACAGCTCCTCCCTGCTCCCTGCCCCTCCCCAGCCTCGGCCACATGATAGATATATGAGTACCCTTTGCCTCAGACGGTGACCACAAATTAGCCTGCTCTGAGCTTGACTCCGAATGATGGTGGCAAAGATGACATGTTCTCAGCCCTCAGCAAACTCGGGTTTCTTCCACTTTTTGCTGCTTAGTCAGCTTGTTGCAATGCCCAGCAACTTCCCTCTGGGTGGCTGTAGTCTGCCCCAGTGCTCAGTACTCCACCCCCGCCCAGCTTCAGGCCTTGGTGGCAGCTGTCTATGCCAACACATCCTCCCAGACACGCCCAGCCTGGAGTCAGGAGACATGGGAGCTGAGCTGCCGCTCATTCTGACCCGCAGACAAGCCGCCTCATTCACATTGCTAAGCCTAAGCTAGGAAATGGTTGTCTGCACCAAGAGCACAAACAAAACAAACAACAACAACAACAAAAAAACAGGTCCCCATCCTCAGGACAAGAACTTGGCCATCGTCCAGTCCAGTGGTGTGGATTTGCACTCTCTCCTCTTCCTGGCCATGTGATGGTGTCCACCTCTTGTTTCTCAATCTGTCACTGTGACTGTCATGAAGCCTCTTGCACAGCCATTGTAAGACAATGGTCATGCACGAACTACATCAGACTAGCACCTGGTGCCCTGGACAGAATGTGGCCCCTACTCATAGATGGAAACCCTAACCCCCAATTCAATGGTATCAGGAGGTTGGGAATCTCAAAGGTGATTGCCTAAAGGAGGTAGAGTCCTCATGAATGGGATCAGTGGCTGATGGAAAGAAGCCCAGGAGAGCCCCCATCCTCTCCAGTGAGGATCATGGAAGAAGATGGTCAACAGTGAAGTGGGGAGCAGATGCCAGGACGAAACCTCCGCAGCCTTAGTGTCGGACTTCCTGGCCTCCAGAACGGTAAGGCATATCTTTCTATTGTTCAGAAGCCCCCAAGTCCATGCCACGGTTTGTTTGATTTTATGTGAGTAGGCAGAGGCAGAAATGGGCACAGGAGATGAGGTGCTGCAAGGCTGGGTACTTTTATTCTGGGCTCTGGGTGGCAGGGAGGTAAACACAGTGGCTAAAGCACTTGCTGTGTAAACACAAGGACCTGAGTTCTGACAATGCGGGCCTCCCTCAGAACATTTGTCATTCTAGCACCAAGGAGGCAAAAACCGGCAGGTCCACAGGGTCCATAGGCCAACCAACCTAACCTGAGTGGCAAGTTCCAGGCCAGTGAGGGACTCTGTCTCTCAAAGAGGAAAATGGATGGTTTCAAGGTTGCCCCCCCCCCCCGCATGCACACATGCTCACAGTGCGTGCACATACACACACAGGCACACACACACAAACACTCAAACACATTTATAAGAACTGGGCTAGGAGTAGGGGCAAAGAGAGTTTTTTGTAGGACATGGTAGAAAAGTCCTATATTGCCACAAACACACCTTTAGAAGCAATTCTAGTAATGGTTCAGGGAGAAAAAGAAGTGGGGGTTGGGTTATAGAAGGCCTGGATATTAGAGCATTCCTGGGTGATTTTGATGTAGTAACAGATATCAGGCAAGCTCATGGCTGGACTGCATGGTGATGTGACTCTGAGCTCTGCAAGGCCCAAGGGATGGAGTGTAGTGGTTTGAATGACAATGTCCCCAATAGATGCTTAAATACTTGGTCCCCATTTGATGCCGCTGTTGGAATGTTTAGGAAGTTCATTCTTGCTGGAGAAAGTATGTTACCGGGGACAGAGCACTCTAGTACCCTAGGCATCATGTGTCCTTCCTGCCTCATTCGGGTCTTAATCTGGGGTTCCTGGGTAGGATGAGGAAGCCATGAAACCCCTGTGGTTATGGGCAGCAGTGCTTTTGCCTCTCTTGGGATAGGCATCACGGCTTTCACCAGATCATAAAAGAGTCAACGATGGAGCATAGTGCCAGTGTGCCTGGGCACCAAGCTCCTGGAACCTACGTGGCTAGGCTTCTGCTCAAGAATGACTTTGAGCCTGAGTCCTTCCAGTTGTTCAATGACATTGGACACACCTCGGTAGCTCTGGCTCCTTGTGTGGCTGTCTCCATGGCTTTTTGTAAAGATTGAGTTGATCCACACATGGCTGGTCACCCAGGCTAGAGGGTCACTTGTCCTCCTCAGCACTGGTTCCATAAGGAGGAACAATGGAGACAAGGCGATGACCTAGGTCCAGAGCCTTGACTGGCAGGGCTGGCAGGGGACATCGTGGGAGAGCGAGTCTGCTCTCTGCTCTCAAAGCTACGAGGACGCTCTCTAGGGAAACTAGAGGGTGAAGCAAATCTCCTGAAAGTTTCAGTTCTGGCCAAATGCTAAGATCCAGTCACCTCCCACACACTGTAGGAAGCGGCTCTGGCCCAGGCAGAAGCTTTGAATCTGAAAGAGCCTGGTAGGTGCCCCTGTGGCATCCTCCCGTGGCCTGTTTGAAGTCACCTGTCTGGTTTGATGTCTGAGAAACAAGGAACTGTCAGATACTGCATCCCACCTAGAGCAAGCAATAGTGTGGACACTTCAGAGGAGCCAACGTGGAGCCACAGGCATGCAGCTGGAGGCAGCAGAGGCAGCCGAGGTTGAAGCCCTGGCTGCTGGCCTCCAGTCTGTGGCCGTTCCCACAGCAGCAGGTCTCATCAGAAGCCTCAGAAGCACTTGCTAGAATACAGAGGGCCTAATCCACCCTCAGGGCCCCATCTCATAGCAGAGGTGGGATGATGAGTTTCCGGGTGTCACTAATGCTGCCTGAGAACCACCGTACTCCAAAAGATGGATGAGGGCTTGTCAGGAGTTTGCCCCTGGCCCAGGAGGGAGTGAAAAGACTTCATCTGCTCCTGTTCTGGCTGAGGGCTCACCTGGAAAGTCCTTGAAGGAGCTGATGCATTCAGGGCCAGTCAGCCTTCTGCAGACACAATCACAGACTCAGGTAGCCTCTGAATTCCAACTGCCATGTCCTGCCTCTCCATGTGCCATGCCCCATGGCTTTTCTTCTCCACGGCACCCTTCCACCTGTTCCTCTCTCACCTGAAGCCTGAGGGAGGGGGCTGAGGAAGGGTGAGGACTGAGAGGCAAGTCTAGATGCAGAGCTGTGATTTCACTCCTGGCAGGCATCGCTGGAACTCGGGCGGGAGGGCGGGGTGCAGGGCCACCTCCTGCGGTGAGAGGGGTCACACCTCTTACCTGCTCTGTGGAGCTCATTAGCTGCTGAGGTGAGGCTCAGTGTTTCTCATTTTGCTGAGTCTTTGCTGAGACTCAAAGAGGGAAATGAGCCATTGCCACTCAGCAAACACTCTCTGAAACAGAAACCGAACCTTCTGCAGTTTCTAATAATGGCCCGTGGACTAAAAATGCAGAAGTCTGGCCTCGCTTCTTCAAAGTCCGCTTTCTGAAAAGAGATGTCTGGAGCTCGCCTTCTGCTTATCAAACTCCCAAGGACAGAGTGGGAGGTCAGGTGCTTCCAACATGCCAGGCCAGTTCATGCCAGTTTAGGGCTCAGTGCCTCTCGGCTGCTGTGAGGAGGTGGGAGATGATCCACCCCTCCCCCCGCCCCCCACTCCTTCCACCCTGTGGATAAAGCTCAGCCACCTTGATTCTGGAAATGTGAGAATCAGGGCAGTTTAGAATTTGGGGATGCTGGATGAGTCACCAGCCTCTCTGAAGCCTCAGGATCTTGGATTATTAGTCTTGCATACTTGGAAACTCTGATCATGTCAGGATGTCTTATGAACTGCAAAGTGTATAAGGCTTTTCTAGTTCATGTTGTGGTCACAGAGTCATTGGATGGTTCATCTTCATCATCAGTTTTCCTGGATTTGGACTTACCTAGGAGATGCACCTCTGTGAGAATGATTTGAGGAAGTCTCCCCTGAGGAGGGAAGATGCATCCCGAATGTGGGCGGCACCATCCCCTAAGCTGGGGACTGGATACGAAGGAGAAACTGAGCTGAGCACCAGCCTTCATTTCTGTTTCCTGACTACAGCGGCAGTAAGACTAGTTACCTCCCATTCCTGCGGTCGTCCCTTCCATAGCAGGGTGGACTGCATCTCCTCAAGCCAGAAGCCAAGATCAGCATTTCCTTTACGTACCTTTTTGTTTGTTTGTTTGTTTTAAACAACAGCATACCACTACCTGACTTTTTTTGTTGTTGTTCTTTTAAACGACAAAAACATGGGTTCTGAGGATTAAACTCAAGTCTTCCAGTTTGCACAAGTATTTTACCAACTGACCTATCTCCCCGGTCTAGATTCTTTCTTTTTAAGGGAGTAAACCCAGTTCAAGATCTTGCTCACTGGAATTGAACATAGTGTCATGTGTCTTTCTAAGGTTTCTTGTTTTCTGTTTATGACGGGTGCTATTGATCCTCTATTAATGATACACAGGGATTTTACATTTATTTTATTGGGTGTGTGTGTGTATGTACCACTGTATGAGTGTGCAGGTCAGAGGACAACTCAGGTGAATCAGCTCTCTCCTTCCACCGCTTAGGTCCTGGGTTGATCAAACTTAGGTCATCAGACTTGGTGGTAAGCCCCCACTGAGTCATCTCTCCAGCCCATGTTCATAGGTTTTGTTTTTATAAAAAGTGAATGTAAGTAAAACAAGGGAGCAGAAATATTCACCTATAAATGCAAATGGTTCTTTCCCACTTATTAAAGTTGGTGTACAAGGTAGATTTTTATTTATGCATGCATGTTGTCTTAGCTAGGGTTTCTATTGCTCTGAAGAGACCATGACCACATAAACTTTTACAAAGAAAACATTTAATTGAGGTAGCTCTCTTACAGTTCAGAGGCTCAGCCCATTATCATCGTGATGGGGAGCATGGCGGTGTGCAGGCAGACATAGTGCTGCTGGCTATACCTTTATCAGAAGGCAACAGGAAGTAGAGTATGACACTTGGGGGTAGCTTGAGCATATATGAGACCTCAAAGCCCATCCCCACAGTGATACACTTCCTCCAACAAGACCACACCTACTCCGACATGTCCATACCTCCTAGTAGTGCCACTCCCTGTGAGAATATGGGGGCCAATTACATTCAGACTACCACACATGTTCATATAAATGATTCCCGGATATGGCAGATACCATTCTTAGGAGACCCAGACAGGAGTTTCCAAGCCTGAGTTTCAGGCATTTGGAGAGAACATATTGCTTTCTGCTCCGGACACTTGAGAGCAGCAGGCTGGGTATGCTCCCCCTTTGGGATTTAGGGTTCCAGGAGTCATCTTGGGGTTGCTTTCACTCTTTCCATTTGAGCTAAGACAAAGAAGACTCTCATTTTTCTCATCTGTGCGGGAGAATCCTCCTACCTTCCACAAGGTTGCTTGTGGGAGATGGGTTGGGCACGCATCTTCACAGGTGTGTGCGGTAAGAGGCTGACAATTGAGGCCTGCCTCCATCACCTGGCCGAAGAGGGAAATCGGAGCTACTGCTGTCTGCCTGAGCTGCTCATAGTGCCCAAAAGGTAGGTCTTCCCTCCAGGACGCCACCACCCTGTGCTTGAGGGAAGAGAAGAGACAGAAAGAGACGTGGCTGACACCGGGACACCCAAGACTACACTTTACCAAAAGCTGGCCCTGATGCCCTAGATGAAAAGAGGCCTCTTCACAGTCGTCATGGTGCTCACTTCCCCTTTGTGACACTATGCAGGTTAGTATTTCTTTGCACGAAGGTTTTTGTTGTTTTTTGCAGCATTGAGGCTAGAACCCAGGGCCTCGAATGTGTTAGGCAAACACTCCACCACTGAGCTACATCCCCAGCCCCGCCTCTGTCTTTTGTTTTTAATTTTTAAAAATATGCAGAACAGAGTCTTCCTAGTATAACCCAGCTGGCCTCAAACTCATGGGCAATGAATCTTCTTCCCTCTGTTCCCCAGGTGCTGGGATCACAGGCAACTGCTACTATACACAGGTTTGTGTGTTTTCATTTTAAACTTTTACTGTGGAAAGCGTGAAGCATTTACAAAAGAAAAAAATAGGGTAGGGTGGTGAGCAGCTTGTACCTGTGATCCAGCTTCAACCGAACAGCTGTCTCTGTTATGAGTCTAGCCTTTGCACTCCCACCCCTTGCTATGGATGCCTCCTAGTTTCCCTTCCAAATATCTTGCTATGTATAACCTTTAAAAATAGAGGCCTCGTAACACATAAGCTTACACGCATGCCGTAAATGCATTTTTCCCCGAACCCACAGAACACAGACCACCCAGGGTGCCAGCACCCGGAGTGCCAGGACTGTCAGCCACGGGCTGGGGTGATAATGATGTGCCACCGCAGCGCCGTCAGCTGTGGCCGATGTGTCACTGATGGCGGGTATCGATAGGTGGGCACCGTGTGGGCATGGGGTGGGGGTGGGTGAGATTGGGAAGTCTCTGTACTTCCGATTTTGCTGTAACCTTGAAATGACCCTAAAAATCGTCCTTAAGAACCCAAAAGCTCACAATACCATCAGAAAATATTTAAAAATGAGCAACACTTTCATGAGACATGATTAGAATGTCTGGGAGTCTCTCCAGAGCTTTCTGTGTTGCTCTTGGCTCTCTCCCGGCACCTAGCAGAGTGGCTAAGAACCACTAAGTCCGCAGTAGTTACAGGCTAACGAGGTGACCGAGTGGGTGTGTGAAGAGCTGAGGGCCCACTGTGTTCTCTGTGACTGCTATCCCTGTCAACGCTTGCTTCTGCCATTGGTCCCAGGTCCCCAGAGTCTCTCATTCTGGAGACCCGTCCCCTCCTCTGCCCACCTGTATCTTCTCAAACTCACGCGCAGCGAGTGGCTAATCCTCTCCTGTGGCTGCAGCCAGCTCCCCCTGCGAGGCTAATTCCACCTTCCCACTTAATCATCATACTTAGCACTTTCAATGAGAGCTTTTCATCTCCGAGCCCCACGCAGGCATTAGCTGATTACTGTAATCTGTTTGACTCCCAAGGCATCCATCAGGAAGGCGGGAAAGGACCCGGAGCCTCCTTTCCCTTCCAGAAGCTCAGTTTCCTCTCCTGTAAACTTGGGAGGCAACAGCTAACTGGCATAAGTGGTGGTGGGGTTAGGTCAGATGGAATCTGATAAGGGCCAGGCATGGCCCCCTAGCAACTAACGAATCCATGGCTGGGTTTGAATCCAGCTTCCTCCACTTATATTTTCTGAGCCTCAATTTTCTATAAAACCAAGACGGTGCCTGCATCTGAGTTTGCCAAAAGGACTAGGTGACATGCTATGCATGCGTGATGTGCACACACCATGCAGGGCTCCAGAGAAGCCTGGTAACCATTCTCACAAGGAGGGAAATGAAGATGCAAGAGGCTGAGATGTTGTTCACCTAGGCACCAGTCCCTTCTCGCCTTTGTGCCCTGCAAATGCAGGAGGGTTGGAATGTAAGATGCCCATTGTGTCCTCCGTGATAACCTCAGCAGATAGCCCTTGTCTATCCTGTGCCCAGGGCACCAGTAAAGACGGGCATTAGGCACAACTCAACTCTAAGTCTGGATGGGGTGGCATTGATTGTTATTGGTTTGTTTTTGAGACAGGATCTCATGTAGCCTAAGCTGACTTCAAACTCACTATTTAGCAAAGATGGTCCTCGGACTCATGATCCCCCTGCTATCACTGCCCAGGGATTACAGGCAATTTTGTGACAGCATTTCAGGTTCATGTGGCACTGAGGACAGAACCTAGGACTTTGTATGTGCTAGTCAAGCGCTGTACCAACCTGCTACATACCCACCCTGGAGGACTGCACCATCGATGAAGGAATCTCAGAACCTCTCTCTCACATCCAGAGAGGCAGGCCAGGGGTTATACGTACCCACATCTTACAAATAAGGAAACCGAGGCTCCCACAGAGAAACACAACACCTGTAGAGACCAAAGCTGGAGCCGTCCCAATGCCGGTCTCTGGGGATGAAGAGGTAGGCCCCTGCCTCAGCTGACCCTTGCAATGCTGCAGGGAGTCTGTGGTTGCTCCTTCCTCTGCTTGGGTCTGGAATGGGTCAGAGCTCAGGGCATCTGCTTCCAGTTTCCCAGAACTGCATCCCGGAATTCAGCCGGGTGTGGCCGCCACCAGCTGCTGTGGTTGAAGACGGCAAATCCTAGGAGACATGCACTGACCGTGTCCACAGGCATCCATCCTTGTGTGAGGTAAGAAGGGACTCTAAGATGGCACGGAGGCCTCCCCGAAACACTGTCCCATCAACCAGAGCTCCTGACTGGTACAGGGTCCACAGTCAGAGTATGAGCTGTAGGAACTCTCAGGAGCATTCTTAGAGGAAATCTCTGGGAACTGAGCCCTTGTTTGGTTGGTGGGAGAAAGTAAGTAAACGAGTTGTCGACCCATTTTCTTGATGTGCAACTGAGGCACACAATAGTTCATTGACTGTAATTGGCACTGCTGCGGTTTACAGTCAGGCCTCTCTTCTCTGCTAGCCAATGTAACAAGAGGAATAGCTGAAGTCCAGAGGAGGGCATCAGCTTGCCCAGAGTCACACAGCTGACTAGTGACTGGGCAGAGAGCGAACCCAAGTGTCCAGACAGCCAGTCCCCAAATCAGAGTGCCTTAGGTGATCCTCAGTTCCTATTTAGGGACAGGGCTAGAGACGGACCCAGTGTGGCTAGGATCAGGGATCCTGGTGATTGGGGAAGAGGGTGAAGGACCGGTGGTGCTGGGGACACCAGAAGGGTATGGTTTGGGTCCGGGTTTCTGTGGGAATTTGAATGTTCCTCCTGTGGGACTTCCCTTAGAAGCCTGCTCTTCACCCAGCCGCCCCGGGGTGGTGGTGCTGTGCAGCGCTCGGTCTCCAGGTGGCGCCCTGCACTGCGGATCTGAACTCCCCCAGAGACTGGCAGGTGGATGTTTTATCATTGCTGTCCTTCCCCTGAATACATGCAGACACAACAAAGGGGCAGATTCTCTATGTGACATTGGGGATAAAGTTATAGTGCGTATCTTGAGAGGAAAAAAGCCAAACAAAACAGAAGTGAGTTCTAGGATGAGGTGTACGATGTGACTGTATTTATAAACAAATATTCTTTCAAATTTCAGCATATGCTCGTGTGTGTGTGTGTGTGTGTGTGTGTGTGTGTAAGCACTTCATGATCCCACTCCCCCTCTGCTGGCTGCATAGCAATCCTTTGAATTACTGTCCCTTCAGGGAGAGCAAGAGACCAGAGAATCCTCCGATTTACTAGTTTGATCATATAGTCACCTTTTTACTAATGTCTTAGACAACGGAGGGACTTCAAAACACCCCAAATCTCAAACCCTCTTCCTGACTCATATCCTATGGTCACATGACCTCAAATTCTTGCTTTTTAAACATCAGGTTTTTTTTGTTTTGTTTTTTTACATCCAAGGTCTTTGGTGTTTACTAGCATCTTGGTCTGCGTTGCTCCTGTTTCTTTTGTGAGCATCCATGTTTCCATCTGGGACCACTTTCCTTCTGCCTGGGGCATACCCTTTATGTTTATTTTCAAATCTGAGCTATTCATATGGTTCGAAAGTCAACAGGACAGAAGTGTGCCGTGATGGATGCCTCTCTCCAGTCCCTGCTCCCAGCTAAACACTGAATATTTTCATATGCACATAGAACAATCTTTGGGAAGGAACACACTCGTTCGAGAGTAGCCGTTTGTGTCTGAAGTGGTAGTGTGGGAATATATTCCTGTCTCCTGAGTGTAAAAAGACAAGGAGCCAGGCCCAGGCTTGGCAGCTGAGAGACCTGTTATTTTCTGACCTGTCCACAGTGCACGGGCTTCTCCGTGTCATACTGCTGGGGACCAGAAGGTACAAAGTTCTCCAGTCCCGAGACAGCTGGTGGTTATGGTTTCAGTTTCATGAGCACTTGCTATATATGCTGAATGCCACTTCATAACCCCCCAGTTCCATCATCCTCATATCAGCTCTGCTACCTTATCACCATTTTACAGCCGGGCAGACCGAGGCAGAGAGGTAAGTGAAGGCAGAGTCAGAGGCGTGATTCCAAACAAACGCATCACACTATGATGGCTAATTTGGGTATCACCAAGGAAACACATCTTCACGTCTGTGAGGGAGTTTATAGGAGAGGTTAATTGAAGTGGGAGGTGCACTCTAAATGTGAATGGTACCCTCTCATGGGCAGGTCCTGGATGATGAAAAGGAGACAGCGAGTGGTGTACCATTGTGGACACCACACGGCCCTCCGCCCCGCTGCCATGACTTCCTCGCCATGATGGACTGTACCTTCAACATAAACCCTTCCTTCTAGTTTGGAATTTTGTCACAACAGTGAGAAAAGTTACTAATAGCCCCTTCCAACTCCAGGCTAGACAGTTATCCAGTTCCATTGTACAAATGAGTACTGAGGCACTCAAGGGTTAGGCTGTGGATTCAAAGTCAGAATCATAGATTAGAACCAGAACTCCCACCCATGGCTCTGATGGTCAGAACCCATCCTCCTCATCCCAGGGCCTTTCCCACGGGGGAGCTTTCAGGAAGGTGGAGAAGGCAGCTCAGGATGACTGGATCTGAAGTTCCGTTCCTATGGCAACCCCTCTATCCCACCTTCAGGAATGTCTAAAGGTCAATGAAGTGAGGACCAGGGCCCATTGGGCAAGAGCCTGGAGTCATCTCCAGTGCAGTGTAGCCCAGACTGTGACTCTCATCAGCTCTGCAGCCTCGGGTAAAGCTGCCTTTCTGTCCCCATGCTGCCTCCGTTCCCTCATCTATCAGTGTCTTTATCTGGTGAGCACTGAATGAGAAAATCCACACACAGCACTGGGAGCCATGCCCAGCACCAAATTCACTCTCCATCATTACCATTTTATTGGCTGTGCAGCTTGATATAGAACCTGTCCCTCTCTGGGTCTCAGGTTCTCCCCCTCTGAGTACATCCTGGGGTTTGGGTTGGAGGTCATGGCCTTGAGTAGGGTCTTCCATTCTGATACCCTGTCAGTCATTAACTGGCCGGAGTTCGAACCTTCTCCACCCATCCTGGCATTTGACATAACAGCCTACCCTCACTGCACGGAGGTGGCCCTGGCTCTGGGCTTGCAGAACTAGGCACGTGTGGATTTCCTCGGAGTGAGTCTGGCCTGCGTTGATGTCTTGATGTTGATGTCTCTCCCAGCATGGAATGCTGGGGTGGGCACAGACAGACAAGGTACCCTCTGGGGTGGAGGGATGGGAAGAAGGGTCCCAGTTACTCTTGGCAAAGGCACGGGTCTGGGTTTTCAAGGCCCTCTGAGGAGAAGCATGTGTGAGGCGGCCAAGGTGGAGCTGGGGGCTCCAGACCCACTTCCTCTCCATGAGTGCCCGGGGCACTTGGTGCCAGTCCTAGCCACCGAGCGCCATTCTGTGTCCATGAATAATTCATGGCCTCGTGTGCCAATCCGTGCCAGCTTTAATTAGCTTCTAACTTTTTGTCATTCATTTTGCTATGAACACCTTATAAATAAGTGATGGACCGGGGAACGGGAGTGGGGCAGAATGTGGGGGAAAGAGCCCAACTCGGAGGCCACAGAGTGGATGGGGAGCCTCCAGGGTTGGGTCCAGGGAACCCCACACCTTAGGGGCCTCCTGGGGGACCTGTGTGCTGCAGCTGGGTGCCCCGCCCTCTGTGGCACCCTCCCAAGCCTGCTTCTTTGAGAGCTCAGTTGCTCCAGCTGCGCCCGGCGCTGTGGGCCCACAAAGCCGGCACAGGCACACACGTGTCTGCCTGCTTTATGGTGGCGGGGCCCCGGGAGAGGGACACAGTCTGGGGACCCAACAGGAAGCGGCAAATGGGATCTTGCCAGCTGAGGGGTTACAGTAAGAGGAGGGACGGAAAACAGTGTCTGTGGTGAGGTGGAAAGGGAAGCGTGGCAGAGGATCCAGAGGAGGGGTGGCTTCAGGGGCTCGCAGTGATGGTGGCCCTGAAGCAGAGGGTAGGCTGTTTAGCATTTTGCTTACAGAGAGCTTTCGTGTAGATTTTTGCTTTTTACCTGAACTACAGTTTAGGGTGGTGGTCAGGGACACTGGGGACTCCCGTGCCCATTTACTGTTGGCCCAAGCAAGATGGCTAAGGCCCAGGTCCACTGTGTGGTAGACAAGTGGGGTTTGCCTCCCTTACTCCTCGAGGGGCAGCTGTGTGGCACAAAAGGACTTCGAAGGCCTCTATGCCAAGGGCCCATCCCATCCAACCCTGGAGACTCAATGGACTAGAACAACAGATTTCATTTCGTTCGTTCTTTCCTTCCTCCATCCAGTGTCTCTCCAGTTCCTTCCTCTCCCCTTCCTTGTCTCTCCCTCCCCTTCTTTTCCTTTCTGTCTTTATCCTCACACCATCCCTCCTCTCTCCCTGTCCTCTCTCATCCCCCACCTCTTCCTCTCCATCCTTATTCCTTCCTCCTTCCTTTCCTTTATTGTTCCCTCCTTCTTCCTGCCTGCTTTTCACTTCTCTCCTCCCCTCCCCTGCTCCCCTCTTCCCTCCTTTCCTGTCCTCCCCCCCCCCCGTCCCCACTCCCACTTCTTCCTCTTTTGCCTTTCCCCCTCCCCTTCTCTTCCTCTTCCTTACCTCATGCTGAAAGTGGCTGCAAGACACCCGGGCATCTGCTGTGCATGAGAGGCACACACACTGCAGCGAGCTGGGGATGTAGCTCAGCGGTAGCATGCATGTAGTATGTAGTATGTAGTATGTAGAGGCTCTGCTTTTGATTTCCCAATTAAAAACACACACACACACCTCTCCCACTATCCAGGAAGCCAGCCTGGGCCAGCTGGAGCAGCGCACATTCTGTCCTCCCCTCTCTGGCTCAGGGGCTAGGCGGATGCTGATGCAGATGAGAGCTATGGCTACAGGAGAAGCCTGGGCAAGATGTCCAGGCGTGAGGCAACCGGCATGGCCCCTCTGCCTTTGTTTTTCTGCTCTTGAATTTTAAAGACAACAGCCAGGTCACTGGGGCCACATTCTTCATGACCAGTAGAAGGATATTGGGCCACACTGGCCAGGGTGTTTGTACTGGGTACTCCTCCCCGGCTCTGAGTCTCCCCAAACACCTTGCCCTACCTTTAACTGCATCATCCTCAGAACTCCACGGCACTGCCCTACCCCAGGGTGAACAGCTGTCATCACCCCACCTGCCAGGAGAGTCCACATGCTCACCTCCAGGGCTTTGCACACCATGTTCCTGCCACCAGAACACTCTTCCTGGCTGTGCTCAACTTATAATCCTCCTGCTTCAGCCTCCTGAGTGTTAGGCCTGTAGGTGCCACCAAATTCAGCCGGACTAGGCTTTCCCCCTTCTCCCCTTCCCCACTTCCCTTCCTCCAGCCCAGGGTTTGAAGCACTTCTCACTACCATTGAACTCTATGGTACCTCCTTGGCCCTTGGAATTCCCGGGTCTCCCACTGAAGAACAAACGTTTGCTCTTAAGTCTGTTCTGTAATTCAGACTAGACTGTAGCCTGACCACACCCTGACTCACAGCCTTGCTTTTGGCATAGGGGGAGCACATGACAGCCACTTGGGAAATAAAAGTAGGTGCCCAAGAGGCCTTATGAGAAGAAGCATGACGTCCTACTTCTGGAAAGGTGATTTCCTGGAGTTTCATCATGTTTTATCTGCATGTAAATTGGCAACAGACGGTTTGGGAAGTCATAGTTGAAAAAAATCCTGAAGGGGTGACAGAGTACCCACCTAGCACATGCAAGACCTTGGGTTTAACCACAAATAAGATGGCAACAAACCAGAAAGGTTTATGCGTGACACATGAAGAGTAAGTTTATTTTATGAATGAAAGCATAAGGCCACCGAGATCCATTGTCCCACCTCACAGCATCCAACTGACCAGACATTGGAGCCCAGGTCCCCTGACTCCTGATTTATCTAAAGCTGAGCCAGGGCACCCAAGAGCATTGTCCCAGCTTAGCTGCTCAGTGGCTTGCCCGGCTCTACTCTGTCAGTAGAGCTATGACCACTGCCACTCATGGGGAGCGGGATCCTGCTCTCCTTCCCAGAGAGGCAGCCTCCTCAAAGTCCCCTCAGGAACCAGCACCAGTCCTTGCCCTCATTCACTGTCCCCCACTTGAGCTGGGGACATGGATTCTCCTAGACACTCACCCCTGTCATGGCCTCTGTCAGTCCTGAGTTGTGTGTGTATGCATTCATGTGCGTATACATGTGTTCTCAGACACCTGAGCATCTAGAGCCACAGAGGTGCACCTGATTTTTTTTTTTCTTTATCTTTTTTCTTTTTGAGGATCTGGAGAGTCAGGGCTTTGGATTTGCCATCCATGCAGCCTGCGGCACGAAGAGAGTCCCAAATAAAGCGACTTGTCCTTGGATGTTAGTGTTAATAAAACTTTATTTACGAACTAAGGTGGTAGAATAGATCGGGCCAGTGGGCAGCCATGTGATCCTCGTGCTAGAACGCGTGGGGTTACAGCATTTGACAGCTATTGTTACTTAGGTGTATGCATCTGTGTGTGGGTTTGGGCACGTTAGAAGAGGGCACTGGATCTCCTGGAGCTGGAGTCCCAGGGTCTGATGGGAGTGGCGGAAGCAGAATACTGGTCATCTGAAAGACCGGCAAGCTCTTCACCACTCAGCCTTGGTGAACGTTGTTAGTGAAGCTGTCGGTGCTCCCTCTTCCCAGCTACAAGGTGATCAGAACTTGGCACTCCCTTCCCCACAAGGGATCTGCTTTGAAGTATTTACTCTTAGGATAGAGACTAATCCCTGGCTGGCGGATCATCTGTCCAGCACGTGCCAAGGTTCAACCCACATCACCGCGCAGAACAACAAAACTAGAGATGAAGGAAGGCCCACATGCCCACCCACCGTATATCCTCTGCCTTCACCGTGTGCAAACCCTCCCTGCTCTGCATACTGGTGTCTCTAGCCTTCCTCTGAACAGCAGCTCTTTCCCACCACAGGGCATTTGCACGTGCTGTTTCTCCTGCCTAGCACTCTGCTTTCTACCTTGCCTGTGTTGACTGGCTCTCTTCTCCTTCCCAGGTGCCATTGACTGGCTCTTCCGTGCAGCCTTATCCAGTGAGCACCTGGGGCTGCTTCCTGGGGCTTTGTCCTTGACTCTGGGAGAATTGTGGAGGTGTTGGGATTCTGGCTGTAACGCTGTCTCTTTATGTGCTTCCCTGAACTGGTTCCTCTTTAGAGGGTTTTCCTGAGGCATGCGGCCATACTCAGCCTTTTTCAGGAGCCAACATATGTTAGTCAATAGGAAGGAAGGAAGGAAGGAAGGAAGGAAGGAAGGAAGGCAGGCAGGCAGGCAGGCAGGCTAAAGAAGGACTGACACTCTATATTCAGAGTTGCTCTGGTGCAATTCCTGTCTCCATCCCCTGGCAAAGGCCTTCCCGAAGCAGCCTTTCTGCCAAGAAACCTGGGCTAACCTCCGGATCCAGTCGAAAACTGTGTTGAAAGCGAAATGAGCTGAGACCCTGGCTCCAGGCAGCTGTTGCCAATAAGCTAGCCTGTCGAGGAACGGGTTCATTTAGCTGGGGCAGTAAAGACCTCCAGGTGTTCCCAGTCAATCCTGCTGTCCAAGGCTTCGAGGGCTTCTTCTAGGCTTGCAAGAAGGTTGGGGAACCGTCCTTCAATCAGGGTTGGTCAGAGGGGTATCTCTTGGGTGTGGGTGCCTGGGGACCTCTAGGGTGTCTCCGACCTAGGACTCCTAGTTTCTAATATCAGAGGGGCTTGTGATGGAAGCCCAGATGTGGCCAGCAGCACCAAGAACCAGAGGAACCTTTCAGCGACTCCTGGAGCAGAAAGGGGGCGCTTAAAGCCAACAGATGGCGCGGGCTCACATAGGCGGTGCGCTTTTCTGCTTTCCGCGAGCGTGGCAGCCCCAGGCCTTTACTGGGAGCAGCTGGGGGGTGGGGTGGGAGGGGCTGTGGTTGTGCCCCAGCCCTTTGCAAGACTGCAGACCCCCAAGTCCGGCTCGGGCACGCACCCAAGGCTCGCTTCTGTGGGCTCCCTCCAGTCTCTTGGGGGGAATTCCATGAGCTGCCATGGCATCCGTAGAGGACAGCACGGCTGGAGCAGGCACTTTTCCATCTGGGTGCCTTGATGGGGTCGGGATAGCGGCCCAGCGAGCAGCGGGCATAGGGGTCCAGGGAGCGAGGTGCGGCGCGCGGACGCGGGCGGGCGGAGCTCGGGCGCGGCGAGGGGAGCGCGGCGCGTCAGGAGGCGGGGACTGGCGCGGGGCCGCGCGGGGCGGAGGAGCGAGGGAAAGTTGATCGCGGACTTGAGCAGCGGCTGCGGCTCCAAGCAAGACACGATGCACGATCCGGGAACGCGTCCCACGGCTGCCGGGTGCTGAGCTGCATAAGAAGGAGCGGGCCCAGGGTATGGAGTACGCTGGCACCGTGTCCCTGGCTGTGTGGGGCGAGCCTTTTCCGAGCTCGCTGCGCGTCTGAAGTTGCAGCCAGCGAGCAGCTAGCGGGGATCGAGTGGCCCGAGTGGATCCCGGAGCGGCCTTCGCGCCGGCAGCGAGACGCGGCGGTGACCAGGACCGGAGCAGGTGGCCCTAGTGGTCCGAGCCGGTGGCGAGCAGATTCGAGACGCGGAGCAACGCCGCTCCACCTGCGCACACGGTACCGGGAGCCTCGCGCCGCCCTTCCTTCCCCTACCTATCCCCTTGCCTTCCCCTAAGCCGATAGCCTGCTGCGTGCCACCAAAGTTAGTGTTTCCCGGCCGTTACCGCAGCAGGCAAAGCCACTTGTTCCCGGGACAGCCGTTGCGCGACTGTCGCTTGGGTCTTCCCTCTGTCCTGCGCCCGGTTCCAGCCCGCGGCCGGACGCGCGGCAACTTTGATTCCCGGGAACTCCAATTTCCTGCTTGTTGGCCTTGGCAAGACGCGCGCCTCCCGAAGCCCGGTTCCTGGGACCGCGACATTCGCGGGCTTCGCTCTTCACGCATTCGAGAGAGTCTGGGTCTAGATAGGGTGAGAGAAGGTGTTGGGAACCATCCTGTCCCCTCTGAACTCAGGGTCCCTATTTGGAGACCCCGGGGAGGTGGGGTGTGGTACCTCCACCTCACGGTGGGCAAGGGCACTGGAGAAATCTGAAGTCACGTAGACCTCCTCCCCGCTCACCTTCCCAGGCCCACAGGAGACCCCAGGGGACTCCTGCCACCTTTCCAGTATTGGTGGCCCTAAGCAGAAGCGTCCTTAGCAGCGCTGGGAGCCGCGTGCTGCTCGCGCTTCGCTTCCCTGGCCCCGGGGTTGGTCGAGTTTGGACAATATACTATTTGTCCCCAGAGCCGGCCCTGGGAGCACTGCCCCTGTTGTCCCCCCGCAAGTCAGGCAGGATATCATACAGATCCCACACATTGTAGGGTGGTGGCCTGCTGGCCGCCCGACAGGCACTCATTCCTTCTTGCCCAGAGCTAGCACGGAGAGCCACTGCCTCTGAGAGGCAAGGCGGAGATCTGGTGCCCTTGGCCATTGCGACCCGGCCCCAGCCCCTGTGTGATCACACCTTGGTAGAAATTAGCCTCGCAGGAGTAGTAACACGTCCACACACTCCGGAAAGCGGACACGCCCATTCTGCACACTTGGCAGTCTTATCCACAGAAGACTTTGACACTATCCCCTCATCCAGCCCTTTAGCAAGTGCCCGCCACCCCGATCTGGATTTTGAAATAACCGGGAGGGGGAATGAGGATTATTTGCGGGCCTGCAGGAGCCAGATCCTTGCCCTGCGAAGAATCACGCTGTGAGCGGGGGTGGGCTTGTGGAGCACGGTTGGGGCCAGGTGCGAGGTGGTGATGACTCAGCCCACGGTGGCAGGAGCTGCTGGAAGGAACGCTTGGCTCCTGGTGCAGGGGTAGGCGCAATGCGGCCAGCACCTATGGGGGTGGTAGGACCAGATGTCACTCTACCAAGGAGGGGTGGGCCAGGGGCACCTTGGCTGTAGGAATAGCAGAGGCCCACCTGGCAGAGAGGGCACCTGGTGATCTGCAAAGGCATTACCAAGTCGCTGGTGTGAACAGAACTGTTACTCAGGTGCTGGAGGCAAGCATTAGGGGTGGTGGCCCCCAGCTGGCATTTTGGCTCTGGCGGGGTCCCTAAAGTCACCTCTGTCTCTGCTTTCCCTCACTGGGCCTCTCACAGCTGTTTAATAAATGGCTGCCTGGAGGTTATGGCCACAGACAGTGGGGTTATCTCTCAGTTGGCCCCCCTTCCCCACAAGCCACCCTGCTTGTCACCTCACTATGTCTGCCTCATTCTTTCCAATTCAGTACTATAAAGGCCACTTTGCTCAAGTGTAGATTCCAAATGGTTCACCCAGGAGGTGAAGGCCAAGAGAACCTTGCTGCCCGAGTGTGGCACGTGGGCTAGCACCTGCATCAGGGCAGCCCGTGAAAACTGCAGCTTCTCTAGATCCCCCCCCCCCCCCCAGATCAGGCCTTGGATTTTCTAAGGCCCATGAGTAGTTGATACATTGTTAAGTTTCTGCTGTGGTGCACAGAACCTTCCAGACCATAGGACTGAAATGTGGAGGGAGCTCTGCCCGGGATATCTGTGTTAGGGTTGGGCAGCCCCTGGGGCCGCAGCTGCAGATGCCACAAGAGTGTCTGTGTTTGGAGGGCTTTGAACAGATGTAGAGGGTGGTCTGGCTTTCTACGCAGTACAATGCTTTGCTATATGTTTGCTGTGGCCAGGAGGAGCTGGGCAGATTTCCGGAAAATGGATGCACAGTCTCCACCTCCAAGATTTCTGGGGTGGGTGGATGCTGTCCTTAGGCAGAAGGAACTGAGCAACTGTCTCCAATCTCAACTGCCCCACTAATGCTTCTCAGTGAGTGGCTGCTTCTTTAGCCCACCGTGGGAAGGGAGCAGAGAGAAGGGTGTAGACGAAGCTTTTTCTCCACTCAGCTTTGCGGTCCCACTTCTACCGCCCTGGGGAAGGTCCCTAGCACCAAGCAAGGCTCATGGTGGGCATGATGGCATGTGTTTCCCAGCCCCTGCCCTCTGAAGCTGAGGTTAAAGGCCTGGAAGGGCTAATGGTGTCACAGGTGAGAGGACGCCACGCGCACCTCAGCCCTGTCTTTGCTGTGCCGCTCTCTGCCTGGAGCAGTGCAGCTCTGTCATTGCGTAGGTTGGCTTGGAGGTCACCAACTGGCACAGTCAGAGGCCTTGTAGAGCAGGGTGATAAGGTGCTGGTGACTCCTCATCCATCTCAAAAAAGTTTTTTTTTTTTTTTTTGAGTGTTTAGCCTAATATTCTTGGGCTCTCATGTTGAAGAAATTCAATGCTCTTGTATGTAAAGGTTGTTTTAAAAATGAACTCAATTGCTCTGGAACTTGTTTCTTATTCAATTATAGATGTTTTTTTTGAATCTGGAAGCTGGCTCCTCTTGGCACTGGGCCAACCCTGTTTGTCATTAGTGGGTGAACAAGGTCAAGGTGGACTCCACGGGCTGGGAGCATCTTGCTTCTAGTGGAAAAGGCCACGCTTCTGAAGGTCTCAGGTGATTCTGGCTGCAGGTGCCTCCTGCTCTCGAAGCCTTCCTGACTGGGGTGGAGCTGTGGGTGGAGCTGCCTCTCCAGGCCCCCCCTTTCTTCCTCTCCCCCCCCCCCCCTTCTTCCTTCCCTCCTCTCATGCTACCTTCCTTGGGAGTTCCCTTCTAGTCTGCGTCTCTCTGGCCTCTGGCTCTGTGATTTCCTCACGGAGGGCCCAGGCTCCATCTTCCCTCTGTGCCCCACCCCCCTCCTCAGGCTGCTCAGGTGGTGAGTGGCCAGTGGTGTGGTGTGATTCCTGTGGGCACCGGCTGACCTGATTGTCCTTCAGCCTTCTCTCGCCTTCCGTGTTTGCTGGGCTTGTAACTGGTCTCGACGGTTTGTGTTAGCTCCTTTTGGGATAGGTGGCTAATGGTGCCTGCCCACCTGCTGGATGTGGGTGTGTGCTCTTCGAGCTGAGATCTCCAGCTCACACACTCTAAGGGTCTGGGACGCAGATACGAGTGGTGTGGGGAACAGCACCGTGTTACAAATGCCTGTAGTCCCAGTTCTTGCGGGAGACGCAGAGGGGGCTGCATGCATAGAAAGTTCCTCTTTCAAACACACAAAACAAAGAGGCTGGTGGGACGGCTCTGGGGATAAAGGTGCTTGCTGACAAGCCTGTCGGAACCCATGAGGTGGAAGGAGAGACCCAACATGAAAGTTGTTGCATGAGTGCACAAGTGTGACTACACACACACACACACACATACACGCACGCACGCACGCGCGCGCATGAGCTCTCACACTAAATAAATAAATATGAAAACATTAAAAAATACTTTTAGAAAATAAGTAGAGAAAAGACAACTATGAGACGATAGGAAGTGGCGGGGACTGAAGAGCACAGGGCCCACTGCAAAAGATAGATAGAGCCCGGTTGGTAGAGCGCTTGCCTGGCATGCACGAGACCCGGGGTTTGATTCCCCAGCACTGCAGAAGACGTGGTGGTGCACACCTGTAATCCCAGGGCTCAGGAGGTGAGGCAGGAGGATCAGGTGTTCAAGGTCATCCTTAATTACACAGGGGTTTGAGGTCAGCTGGGCTTCGGGATACTCTGTGTCAAAAGAAAAAGAGAGAAAAATCACCAGTTAAGAGAAAGCCATATAACAGCTCCCCTGGGAACATCCTGACTGGGACACAAAAGGTGCACCTAAGGAACTGGAAATTTCTAGAACTTGATCTGAAAGTCTGCAGCAACAGTGATATATATATATATATGCTACAATATATATGTATAAATATACATTGTATGTGTATATTTATACATATATATGCTACAAAAAGTCAATTCAGAAAACATGAGAATATTTATGGACCATCTTCATTTGGATTTTCTCTGTAAGCAGCCTTGTGGAGTCTCATAGAGCAGAAAATGCATACTACCCCCTTCCATCCCACCATCCCTTCCCCCCCCCCCCCCCGCAGCCCCCATTCCCCCCCTACCCGCCCACTCCCGGTGTCAGCGAGAGACTGGCGTATTTAAGAAGTAGCCACAAGGAGCTGGCTTCTAGGCTTTCACTATGGAACCTGATCTGACTGAGCCCTGTGGGGTGGGGCGGCACTGCTGCTCCTCCTGTGGTCACTAGAGATGGGCTTGGCTCTTTGTGCCTGGGTTCTGTCTTGTTCAGCACAAGGCATGTGGCCTTGGGCCGTGTTGTGCAGCTCAAGCCTGGCGTTCATTTTTGTACGTTTTCTGAACCCCGCTCAAGTGTGGGCTGGGACCAGGATGATAATGCACAGCCTGCAGGAGCTGTAGGGACTAAGCTGAAACAGGGCCTGGTATGGCACCTACCATTGTTCAGACCTTGGCTTTCTCATCTGTACAGTGGGGATAATTTCCATCTGCGCGTAGACTTCCTGTGAGCATCAATAGTCTGCATCTGCAAAATAGGAGAAGTCCAGCCTTTGATGTACATGGAAAGAGCAGTTTCTTTTTAGCCCCTTTGATGTGACTTGATTGTGGGTGAGACACATTGTCATAGAGGTGAGATGGCCCTTGACTTTTGGAGCTTGATGACCTGAGAAGCTTATGAATTGAGTTGTGCTAAAAGATGCATTTGTGTGTGTGTGTGTGTGTGTATGTGTGTATG